CCAACCTGGAGGCTCTAGACAGTAACATTTACAACTACCTCGAACAGAAGAATGGTAAGATGTGTTGTTTGTAACTTATCTGGAAACATTTATAATTTTTCAGCTGGCGTTTCGGTAAGTTATATATGTTATTCGGTCACGTTTATAACTCCTTCGGCGTTTCTGTAAGTTAAATGTGTTACTCGGTTACGTTTATAACTCCTTTGGCGATTAATTTACGTTTTACTCAGACTTCCCTGAAACGTTCAGATAAAAGTGCTGTAACAATGAGTATCCTGAATGAAACTAATTAGACGTTTCATACACACACACAGATATCCGATAAATTATTACTCAGTAATATTGTCCTGTGATTTGAAAGGTAGAAATGAGAACGTTGTTTCTCTTCCGATTTTCTTATAAGGACGATTTCTACAGTCGGTTTAGAAATATACAACAACGAAGGTAAAGGTAAGTGTAGGCAGTACCTTCTGGTTTTCGTCTTAAATCTTACGATTAGTTTATTAGATGTAATTAAATAGGATTGAAAACTTTCTTGTAACATATTTAGTTGTTGTTGTTTTTTATAGATTTAATGGAATCTCACCAGAAATGATTTGTTTTCGCTTTGGTTGAGTTTTCTTGTGCAAGTAATACGGTTTTATCTGGAGAGAGAAGAGCACGCTATATTAAAACGATTTGGTATGTGCAAATCAGCAAGTCATCACGTGACAAACACATCCGATGACAAGTCACCATGGATTTACAACTGGATATTGTTTGGTGTTTGTAGGTAGTGTGAAACCACAGAAAACTGATCGCTTTGGGAAGTGGTATGTAAAGCCCTTTCCGACGTAAAATATTCATAAACACCATAAATGTGTGCTTAAGGGAATATGGATCATCTTGAGTATCGACGGTCATCCAGAAAGAGACCTGCAATAAGTCGTACCTCAGCCGTGGTAAGCAAAGTGTGGCATCGTGTAGCAGGTGGGAATCCACGGACACGTAATTTAATGGCTTCAAGAAACAGTACGCAACATAATTAAGAAAGAACTCCTTCTGTAAAAGCGGCATAAGTCACGTGTACACAACAGATTGTACCCACGATATATCCATTGAACCGTTGCAGATGTTAAACAGCTGAAGAAAGAAACTGTTATTCATACTATTCCATAGATGCCGTTTAAGTTGCTGAACACCGTATATATGGATTTCTATGCAATTGTACTGTTTATATGGGTGTGGGAACAGTCATTCTCTTACACTAGATGGATCATGGAAAGCATTTAAGAGGATTGGAATGCTTTGGACGTAACAGCCTTATGACTGAGGTTTTTTTTCGAAAATAGCTACGTTGTAGGGCTATTGTCAACATGCACAACTATCAGATAGAGAATGACTAGACGTGATGAGGCTCCAAGGTCGTTTTAATATAACGTACTCACCCTCTTTAGTCTTATATTTATACTGGAAAGTTTAATAGATTTAACTGAATCCAAAACACCATCTTTCTATTTATCATTTTTTCTGTACTTGTTTCCAGATCCTGGTCAGTTTGACTTCTTTCTTTAACCATCCATTGTCTTCTCCATATTTAATTCCTGATTATTATCAGGTTGACGTCTTTCTTTAATCATTCATCCACTTCTCTGTATTGAGATCCTGGTGACGTTGACTTCTTTCTTTCTTTAACCATTCATTGCCTTCACCATAAACAGATCTTGATGACGTTGGCGTCTTTCTTTAACCATTCATTGCCTTCTCTGTATTGAGATCCTGGTGACGTTGACGTCTTTCTTTAACCATTCATTGCCTTCTCTGTATTGAGATCCTGGTGACGTTGACTTCTTTCTTTAACCATTCATTGCCTTCTCTGTATTGAGATCCTGATGACGTTGACGTCTTTCTTTAACCATTCATTGTCTTCACCGTAAACAGATCTTGATGACGTTGGCGTCTTTCTTTAACCATTCATTGCCTTCTCTGTATTGAGATCCTGATGACGTTGACGTCTTTCTTTAACCATTCATTGCCTTCTCTGTATTGAGATCCTGATGACGTTGACGTCTTTCTTTAACCATTCATTGCCTTCACCGTAAACAGATCTTGATGACATTGGCGTCTTTCTTTAACCATTCAATGCCTTCACCGTAAACAGATCCTGATAACGTTGGCGTCTTTCTTTAACCATTCATTGCCTTCCCCGTAATCAGATCTTGATGACGTTGACGTCTTTCTTTAACCATTCATTGCCTTCCCCTTAAACAGATCTTGATGACGTTGACGTCTTTCTTTAAACATTTATTGCCTTCCCCTTAAACAGATCTTGATGACGTTGACGTCTTTCTTTAAACATTTATTGCCTTCTCCAGATCCTAATAATGTTGTCGTCTTTCTTTAAACATTAATTGTTTTATCTATATTTGTTTTCAGAACCTGATGAAGTTGTGTGTGATGAGGCTGATGGAATCACCTCTTACCACCAAGATTTAAAACAATGTGAGAAGTATTTCCTCTGTCAAGGCAAAATTCGTTATCACATGTCGTGTCCTGAGCAGCTCGTATTCAATCCCAACGAAAACGTATGCGATTGGCCGGTAAATGTGGAAGGATGCATGAAAACGTGAACTAATCAGAGCTAGAAATTTACTTATTGGACTGCGAGTGTGTAAAAGTACGAGCCGCCATTGGCAGATGACTGACACCAATGTCAGTTTCTTCAATTGGTGAATTATTTAAAAGTAGCTGTAAACATACACAATGTACTTAGTTTTATCACAAGAGAAAGGTTTAAAAAAAGGGTCTTCGTCTGTTGCTGTCTTTTTCTCTTTTTACATCTTCTCATTTTTGTTTTCTTTGGGAATTTGATTTTATTTGGAAAAAAAAAAACTTTAATGCGGTAGTTACACATCCAAACATATGTATATTTATATAAATATAGGTAAGATCTATTCATTGTTGTTGAAATATAAATTAGGCTTTTCATTCAGCTTAGGATAACTTTCTCAACAAACTGTACGACTGCTTTAAAAATCTGTGATGTTATTGATAAGTCAATACGAACATTAAAGAATTAGGCTTAGTTTCCATCGTCTGTGTTCTTGCATGTTTCTTATTTTTGTCGTAAGGTGTCTTCTACATAAACAATTTATTTTAAATCAAACTAGAATAACCTTAAATCATATTTATTTAACAACCGAGCCAAAAGAAACTTTTGGATAAAAACTTCGACTGTAATAAAACAGAAAAAGTGTTTAACCCTCTATTCCACATTGTAACTTAAAGTAACAAATATATCTTTGTTAATAATACTCTTACTTCTAGGTAACAATCTAAATAAGCCATGACGTTATTTTGTTGTTTATCAAGTGAACAATGTTACTTCTGGGAAACAAACCCATTTATAACTTAGTAAAATATATTTTCCAGAAAAACATTTTTTGTGTGTGTAGTGCAGACCTATTTAAATAAGGAATTCAAATATAACGTTGTTTTTTTCATCGTATTGTCATAAAGCCTCGATTAGTGGCATGTTTACACTCTTTAGATAAAGTAGATATTGATCATGATAGGCTTTGTGTTTTACATTCAATGTGAGTGATCGTTTTTGTGTTTTACATTCAATGTGGGTGATCGTCTTTGTGTTTTACATTCAATGTGGGTGATCGTCTTTGTGTTTAACATTAAATGTGAGTGATCGTCTTTGTGTTTTACATTAAATGTGAGTGATCGTCTTTGTGTTTTACATTA